TTTCTCCACAGTGGGCAGGCCTTCAGACCTGCATACATAAACATAATCTAGATTATGCCCCTCAGACAAGCCCAGAGATTTTTCCCCCAGGTGATCCTAGATTCCCCTCAGTTGACAGCAGAAGTCATCACAAAAATAGTCTCTAAATAACACAGATTTCTCCTATAACCTCATGCTGAATGAAGGAAAAGGCTAAAATCCTGGAACCAGCAAGAGGAAGACATTCCACATTTGTTTTTTAAATAAAACGCTTAGGCACAATTATATATTTTAAATTGAGCCCCCCCTTTCCCCTTAAATCCCTCTCATGCCTCCTTGTCCTTCATTTTCTCACCTTTCCCCCTCATTAGTCTACCTTTTAACAAAAACATGTGGAATATCAGGAACTGCTCAGGGCAGGGTCAGCATTCACAGTCACATTCCTGAAGGTCTGCTCACTGGTGTGCCCAAGACACCATCTTCACGAAGAGGTGAGGACAGCGTTCCAGCACTACTGCCCAGGCAGGTAAGTAGCTGGTAAGATGGCTCAGTAGACAATGATGACTGTCACAAGTCCTGAGAATATGGGTTCAATCACTTCACATGCATGCTAAAATTTATTTACTTGAGCACACGCCTTTTACCCGACCACTTGGGAGGCAGAGGCAGGTGGATCTCTGTGAGTTTGAGGCCAGCCTGGTCTACAGGATGAGTTCCAGGACAGCCAGGGATACACAGAAAAACTGTCTCAAATCCATCCCTCCAGCACCTCCCCCCAAAAAAAGTTCTGAGATTAAGGTGTGTACTACCACTTACCGGCTTAGACTTTTTTTTTTTTTTTAAAGCAATTAATTGAATGTTTGACATGCACAGGAAGTAGCTAAACTCAGGATGAAATGACTTTCTCTTCTACTTGTTCAGTGCTCATTTTTCTTTTATTAAAGATAACCCAGCACTCCTGCTTCTTCTGATTGCTGTCACCTAGGTTTTCCCAATTTGTTCCCGGAAGTCTGAGCCCACGGTGTATAAGCACTGTCCACATCTTCCTCTCAGCTCACGAAGCTCCTAAAACTCACCTACCACTCAGACCAGTGCACACACACTTTGACTCTTGCTTCATCTTTTCCACAGAGTGCTACTCTGCGACAGGAAAGACCAAGAGACCTAGAAGTCTCCCTCCCCAGGTCTGAAACTTGAAAGCTGTCACCTACCCATTTTCCAATACCAATTCCTGGTCTTCAGCTTCTTTTACAATGTAGGAAACTGTAGCAGCCTCCAGAATCATTGTACATTGTACCACTAGCTGATCACGAGTTCATGGCCAGCCACAGCTGAATGAGACTCAATGCTGACAGGCAGAATGAGGAAAAAACAAAACACATTTTTAGCACTAACTCACATATGTCACATATGCCCCAAGTGAAACAGGAGAAAACTAGGAAGACAATCCTTGTGTGGTTATCTTGACCATTTTAAGTCAGAGATTCTCAGCTATGGATCTCTACCCTTTTGGGGTCGCATATCAGATATATTACAATTCATAACAGTAACAAAGTTACAGTTATGAATTAACAACAAAAATAACATTATGGTTGGCATCATCACAGCATGAAGAACTGTAATTAAAGGATTGCAGTATTAGGAAGGGTGAGAACCATTGGTCTAAGTGTTCCCAGCTGATTCCAGGTCTCCACCCATGGCACAATGCTTTCACCTGCTTTTGAACATGGTTCCCAATGCTTAGGAGGGGAGAGAAGAGAATATCTTCAGTATTAGTTGAGATGCTCACTAATTTTGTTCAGGGAATTTTAACAGACAGGTAAGCACAGGAGATAGTTTTATCTGAGAGCTCATTTGGTTTTGTCCAGGTGCCCTCCACATAGCAATGCACGTGCAGCTGAGTTCCCTCATCGGCCCACACTATTCACACACCTCTCTCCAAAGGGAGCATCTAGCAACCTCAGAACCCCCGAGCCCTGCAAACAATGGTCTGCTTCCATGCTCCTGGTAACAATCAAACAAGACAACTTCTATTCAAGTGTATACCAATGTATCCTGACATGAAGACTAGAAAGGCCGATCCTGCATGAACTTGTTCTGGGTACATGCGCAGTAAGACAAAACTGTGCCCTCTGGTCACCTTTTAGGGACCATCTTGTGCCTGTTTGAAGGCAGACACTTATTTACCATCTTATGCCTGTGGTCTAAGTTGGTCATGCATGTAAGTTCAGACATGTAATAGGAACAGGGAGGAGCACCAGGAAAAAATGCATGTGTGATCTAATCTATCAAAATAGTAACAGCCCCTCCTTCTCTTGAACCCCATGAAAGAAGCCCCCAACACTGGAGTGCTCTGGTCCCTAAAAACAAAAGTAACAGACAAAAAGCCTTAACAACTAAACGGGGTTGGAAGGAAGGAGTTGCAGATGGGAATGCAGCTCCCAGTGCAGAACCACCTGCCTCTCCCCAGTCCCTGGGCTTAGCCCTCAGTGCTGTTCTGATTCCAACCCCGCTCACCCAATGTTCCCTGTTTTTTTAGAGGCCTCTCCAAAAGGCCACAGGGCAGCTCATGTCACAAAAGCTGGCTAATGTTGGAGGAACAGCCCTGGAGAGGGCCCAAGCTAGAAGTCACAATCTCTTACAACTTTAATCTCGACAGTGCTAACCCACTGCACTAATCTACTTTGTGTGGCTGCAACACAATCCAGATAATAGGTACTAGGGAAAGAAAAGAGGTTTATTTAAAAACTCCCACTTAGCTGGATGTGGCACAGCCTGCCCTTGGCTTTAAGGCAGTTCTGGGACAGCCTGGTCAATCTGAGACCTTGTCTCCAGACAACAAAACAAACAAAAACCTCAGTCTGGAGTCTAAAAGTCCAGAATCTGATGTTCCCAAATCCCAATTTAGGCCCTCCTTCTTTAATGTCCCAACACATCAATGTCACCCACTTGAGACCAAGCCTCCAGGCCATGAACCTTTGGAGGATTCAAACTGCTGTGTCTGTCACATATGAGAGGAAGTCCTTCTGAGGAAGAAGGTGACCCATAATCCCACAGAGATGTGATAACACAGACAGGATACTGAAGACCCAAAAGGGCAGAGGGGAGCCCCCTTTCGTGCTATTCCATGGCTTGGCTACATGCACCCAGTTTTTGAACCCCTATTCTCTGCCATAGCAAGACTCATGATTTTGCCAATTCCATAACCATTGCCAGTCTAATTGCACAATCCTCCCACAGAAACATGCCTGCCCCGGCTGTTTTCTCCTCAAACCTTCTGACAAATACTGAGTGAAGAAGGACTGCTTCTTGCCAGCGTGTCAACCTCCAGGAACCACTTGGAGCTGCTTCTCCAAGTGTCCACTTTCCACTCACTGATTCAAGCTCAACACCTCACCACAGAATTCACTGCTTTTACCCAGTGCTGACCCCCACCCCATCTCTGCCTGGGGACACAATGCATGCAATGCAGCTGTCCTTGTATTGACCCCTCCCACAACTCTCTGCCAAAAGACCAACCCCTAAGACTATCACCGCCTACAGTATTCCTTTGTTCCATGAAAGTATGTGGCTAGCACGATAAAGTTCAGCATAGCTCAAGATGGAGATGACAAAACCATGTAAGACTGAATGTTAGCCATCACTCTTTAAAACTCTGGGAACTAGTCAGCAATGTTTACTAAAGCGGTCTTCACTCAAGGTTAGGTGCGTGAGGGACTGAAGAGATGGCTCCCCAGTTAAGAAGACTGGTTACTCTTCCAGAGGACCTGGGTTTGATTCCCAGCAACCACATGGTAGCTTACAACTGTCTGTAACCCAATTTCAGGGAATGCAACAACACCCTCTCTTCTGGCCTCCATTGGCACAGGCACAAAAGCAATGTACAGACACAAATACCCAGACACATGAAATAAAATAAAAATGTAAAAAGTGCCTATTATTTGGTATTGTGTTACAGCAACACAAAGTGGATTAGTGCAGATGGCTCAGCAGTTAAGAGCACTGGCTGTTCTTCTGGAAGAGTTAGATTCAGTTCCCAGCACCCTATGGTGGCTCATAACCATCCATAAGTCCAGTTATATATACACTACTTACATACACACACAGGCAAACACTCAAAATAAAAATGAACAAATTTTTAAAAGAAAAAAAAAGATAACCATGGGTCCCAAGGGGGTTAAGACCTGTCTTTCACTATAAATGGAGTCTCTTTTGAGATTCCTAGGAACTTTTAGGTTTATAACTGGTAAACATAAAAAGGTTGTATATGCTTAGGCCTTAAGCATGATTCGCCACCATCTTAACGTTTTTATTTAAAATACTCCCACATAAAATAAATATTACTTATATATAGGCAACCTCCACATTAAAGTTTTTCAATATTAAATTTTGACTTATTGTGGTCATCGTGGGTTTATGACGCACGTAAGCATGAGTAGGCGTGTTGCAGTACCTGTGCCTGTGGAGCGCGGGTGGGCGAGCTACGGTGCCTGTGGAGCGCGGGTGGGCCTGTGACTGTGGGGAAAAGGCCATCTTCTGCCATTGGTCCTCTGCTTCCAAGTCAGGTGGGCATGTTTGCCAGGCAAGGGCCTTTACCTCCCTGGTGTCTGCCAGAGCTCTGGTCCCTCAGGTGCTGCCAAGTGGCTCCCAACAAACACCATGATAAGGCCTCCCCTCCCTTTTCTTCCCTCCCGTGTCCCCTGCCTTTCTACCCTGAGGTGCTGGTGGTAAACAGCTTCAAAGCCGTGAAGGCTCGGTGCCCGGCCCAGGCTTTCCGGTCTTCAGTCCCTGCATGCTCTGCCGCAGCTCTCTGTTTGAAGCCTTCCTTCAGGTTACCTCTATAGACTCCCCGAGCTGGCAGCACTCCGGAAGTCCTCCGGTAGGCGACAGGGCCCAGGGCCCACCTTGCCAACTATGCAAGGGCAGGAGGTGGTGAGGGGAAATGACCAGCCGGCACTGCGCGTGCGTGGACCTCAGGCGCCGTCGCCATCTCGGCCGCCATCTTGGGGCCTGTGGGCACCATGGGGTCTTGGGCACTGAGAGCTGCGCTGCTGTGTCTGGGCGGTGCCCTTGTGTGCTCCCAGTTCCACTCGCTGCCCCATAGGGATGGCCTCATCCCAGCGCGGGGACAGGCCACCACACAAGAGCCGAAGGCCAAGACCCCGGAAGAGGAAGAACCTGTCACGAAGGGCAGTATCTGGTCATGAGGCCCTGGCTGCCACAGCACAGGGAGACTCGCCTCACCCCAAAGATACAGAACTAAGCTGCTCACAGACCCTCGTTAGCAATGTCAGTGATAACCCCAAAACATTCGGCATTTATTGTTTTATAAACAAATTAGTATTCGTGGCTCAAGGGGCTGTTAGGTGGCCTTTTCAGAGTGCAGTTGTGGACAATTATTCAACAGGCTAAATGGCAAGAATTATATAGCTTGTACCTCTAGACTTAATCAATTGCAGTCTTTATTTTATACCAGAGGTTGAACCAGGAGCTTATTTATATACATGCTATCTACACACCTTTATCATTGAGCTATGTATCTCAAGTCAGTATGAGGCTTTATGTACACACACACACACACACACACACACACACACACACACACTCACGCTCACTTTTGAGACAAGGTCTCACTATATATAGTACAGGCTGACTCGAATCTTCCTGTCTGATCCTCATGAATGCTGGGATTACAAGTGTATACTATGCCGGGCGTTGGTGGCGCATGCCTTTAATCCCAGTACTCTGTGAATTCGAGACCAGCCTGGTGTACAGCCAGGGCTACACAGAGAAACTGTCTCCAAAACAAAACCCAGAAAAAAAAAAAAAAACAAGTATATACTACTATGCTTGCTGGCTCCTAGGTTCTCAGTTTCACAAAGGAAAGAAATGGTATTTGGCCAGAGAAACTTGTTTTTATGTTCTTGGGCAATAGAGTTATTAATAAATTATGTTGATTTTGTGTCTTCCTAAGTAATCAAATATGGCATGTTTGTCTTAGTTCATCTGCAGTTCAAAATTTCTGTTTACCTCAGATTTGGCTTGCTTCATCAGTGTCTAAAGAGGAAAAGGATATGTTAATGTATTCAGGTTAGTAAGTAACACAGAATGTGGGTGTTTATTCCAAATAATGTATTGCTTTGTTTTTAGATTGTGGAATAGCACCACTGAAGGGTGCAATGGAAGGGTCTCGGATTATAGGAGGCACACGAGCTACCATTGGTGCCTGGCCATGGCTCGTTAGCCTGCAGGTTCAAGATGGCAATTTTCTTGTGCATATCTGTGGTGGTGCCTTAGTGAGAGACAGGTGGGTCCTCACGGCCGCCCACTGCACTAAAGAGGCAAGGTATGTACCTACAGTGACTCCCGTTCTCTTCTCGTAGAAAATAGAGAAATGGTAGAGTGTCACGGACTTTAAACATCGTGTCTACAAAGTAGTTATATGTAATTCCTTATATATATGACACTTTAGCATTTGCTAAAATGAATTCTTTAAATCACACATTGGCAACTTTTTCTGTGGATACTTTATGGGGTTTGCAGGGCATGTGGTTTGTTACATTACTTGGTATGAAAGTAACTATACATAAGTGGAAAACACATAATTAAATCACTGTTGCTATGATCCTGTAATTCCATACATAGAATTATGTACGTGTATGCATAAAGCATATGTTCATGGGTTGCATGAAAACAAGATAGGTCAGACTTAATCTTTATTGTGTGAACTCTGAAAGAGACTCTTGGTCCTCATTTGCACTAAGTCATAAAATCCCATTTTCATGATTTCCATGACCCAAACATTATTTCAAAGACTAACTCCATGCCCAATCCAGTAACTTCCTAGTTTCCATCCTAGTGACCCTATGGTATAGGACAATTATGACAGATTTTCTCAAGTGTCTCTTTTCCTAAAACATTTTTATGCCTATGAGTGTTTTGTCTGTATGTTTTTGCACCATGTGTGTCCATGGTGCCCAAGTTAGTCAGAGAGGGCATTAGGTCCCCTGTTACTGGAATTACAGATGGTTTCGAGCCATTATGTGGTTGCTAGAGCAGAACCTGGGTCCCCTGC